ATATATATATATATATATATATATATATATATATATATATATATATATATATATATATATATTGTTTGCAAGAAAAAGTTTTCTATTAGCACTGCCTCTGCAGACGAAGAGATACGGCGCTGCATTGATAAAAGAATAAAAATTTAATTATTTTTATTGTCAATACACCTGAATGTATTATATTTATATAAAAGAGGGGTTTTGTATTGTGGTGAGATTGGCTTTCCTCTCTCACCGCCAACTAAACCCTAGAATAAATAAATAATAAATATATTAAATAAAAGAATTAAAAAGAGTTATTTATTAATTAATTTATTACACCACCAACAACAAAAAGAGAAAAAGAGAAAAAACAATATATGCAACGAGCTGTATGCTGAGAGGGTCATTGCTGAGGGGCATCTAAGGAAGTAAAAACATTAAACATATTAAACATATTTTATGCTTATTAAAATTATTTTAATAATTATAATTAAAATTTTATTTTATTTTCTTGTTTTCTGCTGTTATTGTTGTTGAAATGCATCCATTGTCTCGTCACCAGCACCCTGAGGAGGCTGTGGTTGCTGGGGGCCTTCAGCATCATATTGTGGTTGTATTTGTTGTTGTATTTGTTGTTGTTGTTCTTGTTGTTGTTCTATTTGTTGCTGTTGTTGTTCTAGTTGTTGTTCTAGTTGTTGTTCTGGTTGCTGTTCTATTTGCTGTTGCTGTTCATCTATTTGTTGTTGTTCCAGTTGTTGTTCATTTTCTTGTTGTTGTATTTTTTGTTGTTTTTCTCGGCCTTGTTGTTGTAATAGTCGTTGTTGTTGTAGTATTAGTTGTTGTAGTTGTTCTTCTGGTGCTTGATGTTCTGGTTCTTGTTGGTCTTGTTGTAATTTCCTTAGTTGTTCTTGTAGGTGTTCATTATGTAGAACATTATATTGCATATTTTGGTGTTCTGCTGTCATCTGTCTATCTCTTATATCTGCTTTCTGTTCTGCTCGACTCTTTCTCCCTGGCTTTATCGCCGAGAATATAGCCTTCATGCGTTTCAGTGGTGCGATGATAGGGAAACGCCTTCTCTTAGCACTACCTGAGCAGAAAAAAACACAGAAACACAAACAAAATCTTAATTAGTTTTCTTTTTTTGTTTTATTATACATATATTTGGATTGCCTCTGCATGAAAACAAACGAGAAACAGATAGCAGCACCAACGCAACGCCCACTACTGCACTGAAGGGTGTGGAGAGCATCTCTATACGTATATATACATATTATATATGATAAATAAATAAAAATAAATAAATAAATAAATATATATGAGGGTATTTCGCGTACCTGTCGTTGCGGCAAGCATGATATCTATGAGTATCTGATAGGGGTTCATAAGCAAAGGATGCTCAACATTGGTTACAGGTCTGTTTAGTGTTGCTGTTTTTTTTGATGCAATCCATTTTGCATCTCTTTGTGCTCGTATACTGGGGGCTATCTCCTCCCACTGTCTTCTTTCTCTTACCCATGTAAGAAACTCAGATGTTAGTACATCTACCATCCCGGTTATAGGGTACTGCTGACC